TTGTCATTTACGGGGAGTCTAACACAATTTATACATTTTGAGAATTAAGGAAAAAAATCCACAAGCATAGATAAAAAAAAAATCTAGAAATAACTTTTCCGAGCACTCTTTCTTTCTTTCTTTCTTTCTTTCTTTTTTGAGTTGGAGTCTCACTGTGTCGCACAGACTGGAGCGCAGTGGCCGCTCCCGGCCACCGCAGCCTCGACCTGCTGGGCTCCGGCAATCCTTCCGCCTCAGCCTTCCGCGTAGCTGGAATTACAGGCATGCGCTACCACGCCCGACTGATTTTTGTTTTTTTATTTATTATAGAGATGAGGTCTCGCCAAGTTGCCCAGGTGGGTCTCGAACCCATGGGCTCAGGCAATCTACTCACCTCAGCCTCCCAAAGCTGCAGGATTACAGGCTGAGCCACCGAGCCCGGCATATCCTCCTTTTGTAAAGACACCCATTGGGTTGGATTGGGGCCCACCACTGTGACCTCATTTAACTGAACAACCGCATAAAAGCCCCTGTCTCCAAAAACATGTTCTGACCTATTGAAGGGGCAGGACTTCAGTACAGGAATTCGGGGGACGCAGTTCAGCCCTTAACAGATGTCATTTGTGTGCGTTATTTCTACTACTTGGGAAGCTGACATTTTTAAAAGCAGACTGACCTCATGTGATTTCTTCCCATTTTTGTGTTATAAAATATTTGCAACCACCCAAGGAATAGAGTAGTGAGTGTGAGATGTGAAGCAAGATAGTGAGACGAACGTCCATGGCTCTACCACCCATACTAAGAAAGGGGATTTTAGAACGAGATTTCTGGAGACACAAGGAACCTCGAAGACCTGGGTGTTTTCTTGTTTCATCCTGGACTTTTGGCTGTCTCTCCTTTTAGTCCTCGCAGCTTGGCAAGTCTGAGGGTGGCAGTCACCCAACATTTGTGGAGAGGCCCTAGGATGAGGGGTCCCAGGATGGATGTGCATCGTGGGACATAGCTCTGCCATCGCAGGTGTGTGCTCTGGTGGGGACACGTGAGCCGGTGAATTCTGCAGGGCTGTGTCCAATCTACAAGGAGAATTGATCTGATTGGTCGGGAGGCGATGATGAAGACTCTGGGAAGCCAGGAAGTGTGGGATGCCCAGGAGTTGAGGCAGGGAGCCCCTGGGGTCTTTGGAAGCCATGCAGTTGGCACAGGCGATGAACCTGGACTGAGGGTTCGTTCTCTGCAGGTAGACAACGGGCCTGTCTGAAGCTCTGTAAAATGGGGATGGCAAAGCAGGTTCGCCGTGCACTGTTTACCAACTCGTCCGAGTCTGGTGAGGCAGAGCAGCCACACAGGTTACGAGTGCCTGAGGCTGCACTGAGCCAGTGTTCCGGACGTGGATTGTCCCAAGCTCTCTGTGCGGCAAGTGTGTCCCGCCGGTTTGAGAGTCTGTGCTGTGGGAACCCTGGAATTATCAGCCCTGAAGGCTTGGGAGAGCCCGGAGTTCACTCAGGGTGGCCGGCTGCCGCTCCCAGCCCCACCTTGTCTCGGGCAGGGGGTAGGGGTGGGGAGAGCTGAGGCAGGGGCACCAAGGTGCTAGGGGCACTGCCAGGCATCTCGGGGTCTTGAGAAGCTTCCTGTCTGAGTCTGTTCTTTGGGGATAGTCACATGTCCGAGCATGGGGCATGGACACCCCAGGAGTGGTCCTGGCCCAGCAGAGGTGGGGACAGAGGGCCCCGTGTGGGTCAGAGATGCTCCCTAGGGAGGGTCCTTGTGGGGCTGGCTCGTGCTCGTGAGAATGGCTGTGGGCAACCTGTCATCCCCACATCACCCCGCCCCTCCTCATCTATGGGCAGGACTGTCTCCATCCCCACCGTGTTCTGGTTACACCTCAGTTTCCCTTCGGTCTGGGCTCTGGGTGGAAATTAGCCTTCTAAATTGTCTCTTCCACTGGAGGAGGCTGCCTACCCCAGGCATGAGCTGCAGGTGGGTTGGAGGTGCCCATTCTGGGGTGGTGCCCATGGAAGGGCAGGAAGGAACCTTGGAGGGTGTGCAGAGTCTGCCATGGCAGTGACTCCGGGGGCAGGAAGGCTTTTGTTTCTGTGACCCCCTGTTTGTTTGTTTGACTCTTTATTCTTATTTTTATTTATTTATTTATTTTTTGAGTTGGAGTCTCACTCTGTCGCCCAGACTGGAGTG